ATTTTATGTCACTGTCTCTTAGCAAACACATTTTAAAACAGTCCTTGCCAGGTAGCTCAGTTGGTTAGAGTGATCCCTAGTCGGGGCACATAAAAGAATCAGCCATTGAACGCATAAATGAGCGGAACAGCAGGTCAATGTTTCTCTCTTTCCCCTCCTTCCTTTCTCTAAAATCAATAAATAAAATTTTTTAGTTTTTTTAAAACATGGGGATATGTTAAGTAACCACATGGCTTCAGCTCTTCACAAACCCCCATCAAAGATGTGACAGCTGGGGAGCCAAGTCACGAGCATGCTCCTCTTCATTCTTCGCAACTGCCATCTGGGGTTAAAAATTATTTTCCTAGTGTATTAACAAAAGAGCCTAAGTGATAAAAGGGGCAGGCACCGTGGCTGGGTTTTCCTGAGGAGGAAGCACATGGGCTCTTCCTTCAGTACACAGGGCCCAGAAGCAGGAGAGAAAACCAGGCTACCAGCTAACAATGAGTTTGTTTGTTTTTTTCCTCATTTATCGGGCTGACATTGAAAATTATATAGGTATCAGGTGCACAATTCTATAATTCATCATCTGTGTACTGTACTGTGTGTTCACCACTCCAAGTCGAGTCTTTTTCCATCACCATTTACCCTCCTTTTACCCTCTCCTATCCCCGCCCCCCACCCCCCCACCCCCAGCCATTCCCATTTCCCTCTGGTAATAATGACTTTTAACAAGACATGTTTGGGGGGCCTTCTCTAGGCCAAGTACTGAGGCATGGACAACCTAAACACTCAAAACAACTTTTACGAGGCTGATACTCTCATGGCCACCATTTTACAGGTAAGGAAAAGGAGACTCAGAGAGGTTAGATAACAAAAGCAATTCGGAAATGTCTAACCCAACAGAAAGTCAGTTCTGACTTCAAGTTCTTCCCATTAGCCACCAAACAAAAAGGTCCCCTGCCCTCCACCCCACCCCCATCACCACCCTAGCACCCTGATTTGTTTAGCAGGCTCCATTTTCCCCAAGCCCATTGTTCTATATATTATAGTAGGGCCTGTATAGAGTCTATTTCACTTTTTTAACTCCTTCAAAAAATTTTAGTGCTTATTAATAGTTATTAATCATACCACCAACCCACTCAAAAGATACTATCCAGTTTGTGTAATGGAAAAAGAATCAGCTTTCAGAAGTGCAGTAATTTCCCCCTTCACTGTGTTACATAAAAGTAAGGATTACAAACAAGTTGTCAGCCCTCAAGGGATAGGCTTTCACCCAGTGGTAATCTCTCCTCTTTACTATCTAAATTCTCCAAGGTCTTCCTTTCTTCCTCCATTCACTGAATATCCCCAGCGACTCACATTCAAAGGTCACTAATCTGCTCAGACAGAATCAAACTGGATAAAAACCTGACAGAAAACATAATTTGGCAAATGCAAAAACAAATATTTTAGTTTGAAACTAGACAAAGCTTAAAATAGTTATTTGAAAAAAGTGCAAAAAAAAATTTGTAACATTTTGTCCCTTGCAGAATATTTCATTTTACTTCAATATTTGAAAAGTCAGTGAATTTAGATCCACAACAACTCTGCCATCCTGTAGAGTGATGCCTTTGCACTGGATACCGATGCAGCCTGACAAAGGATGCTCCACTTGTACAAAGTCACTCATCCAGGATGCCGTTAGGTGATAAGTTTTTTTCCCTCCCCATTAAAATAAGTTTTAACTTACAAGACACATTTCAGGGGGCAGGGGAGGAAGGTGTGAGGGGGCCAGCGGGGGGCGGGGGGGGCGACTAAAGTATTTCCACCAGATGGTGCTATCCTCATTGGAAGTAGTAAATACAGTGTTCCTGATTTAAAGTACTTTGCAATCTAACCAACTCAAAATTGATCTTTTTTTTTCCTTGAGAACTTTTGCAATAAACAATGATACTGTCTTCAAATCTAACATTCTATAATTAAAATATAAAATAAAGCTTTTCTTTCCACACAGAATAATGATGCTAATAAGAATAAACACTTACTTTTAGCATATTACATGCCAGGCATGGATCTAAGCATTGTACATATATAAACTTATTTAATTACTTCATACTATAAAAATAATCTTCAATTTACATATGGAGAAACTAAGGCACAATTAAGTAACTTAACAGAGTTGTTAAGCTAGTAATGGGCAGAGCCAGGATTCAAATTCTGACAATCTGGTCCCCAAGTCCATGCAGCTAACCTACAGAAAAACAAAGAATCCCACTAAAAGAGAATTTATTGATGACTGTATTTATCTATGTCACTAATTATATCAGAGCTCTAGAAATACATAAAATTAGCTTATGAAAGGTACAAATTCTATTATCTGATAGAAATGTTATTCTGACATTTTCACACACACATAAATACCTCCCAGTGAAAGGGACATACCACTTATTTGTCAGCTATATTCCATTGAAAAGACCAAACTCTAGATTTAAGAAAGAGGAAAAGAAGGATCTGTCTAGTCAAAAGGTAAAAAGAGAAAAACAATGAATTTGATGGAAAACAGTCATAGAAATTCTGAATCATATTCAAAAGATTGATTTTTAAAAAATTTTTTATTGTTCAAATACATTTGTCTCCATTTTCCCACCAAAAATATTGATTTTATATACATGTTTATATATGCTAATATATATGACATAGGTAAACATGTTATACATAATATATATAAAAGCAATGATATATACCTATTATTTCTAAAATAATAAAAATAGTACTTTCTAAACCTTAAAAACAAGAGGAGGAAAAGAATCTGCTCTTTATATTTTTAAAGACTGATAATAAAGAGTATAAACTACAGGCAGAGCTATAGCTTGATATAACATATTCAGACTAAATCATCTGTTATTAGAACCACATTGTGGCTCTAAACGATCCCCATCTTTGGCGCTTACTTTGCCTTCCCCGTTATATTTCCATGTACGGGACACATCTGTGATTCTCTACAGGCTAGCAGCATACTTTGTAATAGGCAAATGCTCAAATATTGTGGGAAAAACTCCAGAATGTGTGTCTTGAGAAATTTATTGCCCCAATTTATTAGAAACCTGGAAGGTAATGTATTTTATTCAACCACAGGTAAACATGCTTCAGACATTCAGATTACAATTTTTTAGATATACTTTACCAGCAATGGAGCTTTTGGCATGTGTGTGGACAGATTCACATGTGTCTACAATATCAAGTTTCAAGATTTAAGGTCCTTTTTAGTTAGTCTACTTCCTACTTCTTGCACAATTTTAAAAAATTAACTCCAGTATTTTATGTACTAGCAACTCACTAGTATCAAACATCCATCAGTTGGGGGCTAGTTAAATAAATAATTACAGCATACCAACATGTTAGACTTTTAGGCAATTTTTTAAAAGAATGAGATGGCTCTACCTGTACAGACATAGAAGTGGAAAAGCAAGGTTCTGACTGTGGGTATAATATCTGTATGCAACTGAAAACGCTGGTTGACTCCAGGCCACATATAAGGGAGCAAGGAATGGGGACCAGAGAAAGACTTACTTTTCAAATATCTCTTTGAAAGAGTGTTTGATTTTTTTCAACCAGGTCCATAAAAGATTTTTTCCAATCATAGTGATTATAAAACTAAAGTTAATACTTTATAATCAGTTTTTAGAATTTTTAATGAAAATTCAATGGTTAAAGAAACCTTGAAACTATTCGAATGCTAGCTAATGCATGGTTTCTTTACTACACTTGCATCTGCTTTCTTTCTACTTGAACTCTTATATATTGGGACAGATGACTCATGGGAAGTTTCAGTTTACAACTGCTGGTAGAGGCATCGAACCATTTTCCTTGATCTGCCCTTTAGACAAGTAACACGACAGAGGTTATTCCAAGTCATTTGCCTTTTGGCTGTATTTTACGTCTGCAAGCTTTAAAATGGTAGGTCCAAACTTCCTGGAAGAACAGACAACATATTTACTTGAAGCTGGCTTGGGTCTACTTCAGTTCACACTCACTTTGGATAAGCCACAGCAGAAGGTAAGGGTGTCTAAGAAAAGGGCTTCCATTCCTGCAAATTCCACGGGATTCTTTTTACTCACTAAAGTTAACTATTCTGTGTATAAAGCAGTATCTAGACATTTGATCTTAAATGGAAATGTTACCTGAAAATAGTATCATCTTTTATAAAACTTTAAAATTAGCCACGTTATTTTTAGCCTTTCGGGGAGGGAGAGAATGACTACAACAAAAGCTCATTAGTTCTGTTGCTGTAGAATATTAATTCACATTTGATGATCTCTTCTGAGCAATTAGCAGAAAATAATCTCTTCTCAAGTCTAAAATCACACTTAAACATTCAAAATGAAATGACAAATGAGTCATACTAGCCCAGGGCAGGTATGGGGAGAAACTGCCTACAGATTATGTGACAGTGGGATACATTCCAAAATCAAACCAACTCCGGTTCAAGTCCCAGCTTTGCTATCCTCAAGCTGTGTGACTTTGAGAAAGTTTCCCCGTCTATAAATGGAAATGCTCTCACTTCTTGTAGGATTGTTGTGAGGATTTAATGAGATAAACCAAAAAAAACACCTACCTTGATATCAGTCACACATTATGCAGGAAGGGGGCGGGGAAAAGGAGGAAGGAAAGAAATGGATTGGAGGCCAGAATTGCACCCTTTGTCAGTCTTTGGGGACCAAATTCACAGAGAGGAGCTATGTGCCCTCCTTGCTTTAGTCTGGATGAAGACAGGAGGCCTATGTGATTTTTCAAAGAACCTCAATTAAGGTACTGGAGGGGGTGCTGGAAATGTAGCGTAAACCCCAAGTAGCCCATCATAAAGTGTAGCAGAGGCCAAGAAAAGAAGGCCAAGGTGGTGAAAAGGTAAGGCAGCCAAGATGTACGAAAGAAGGCTCTCTGGGTGCGCAGATAGGTGCTGAGGCAAGCAGAGCTGCTTCTGAGCCCACAGTCCCTCAGTTAACACCTGTGTATTCAACTCCGAGTCAGGCTTGGCTTACCAAGATTTGGCTGAGACACGGCCATGGCCCTCTGGGGCGCTGGTGTGGAAGTGGCGGCAGGGTGGAGGCTCATATGATTCAGGGGCTGATTCATCACCTTCCTAGGGTCTTGCCATGTGGTGATTTTTTCTATGTGACTAAAAGAAGGAAAACAATTATCTTTTTAATTGTCAGCATCATTAGCATTATTACCATCACCCATAACAGCGCAACAGTTAAATGACTTGGGCTCTTCTTTCCTTAGGATCTGCTTACAAGCAGCTGACACATTCTACTTGTTTTCATTCAAGGTCAGGTCACTTACCTTCTGTCCAAACTGGGCCACCCTAAGATTTTGCAGGTGACTCTCTGAGTACAAGCCCATTGCTTAGCTGTCCCAGACGCCCCTACGGGCAAAAACCCTCTCATGAGCTGTCTGCATTACTGGGGACACACAAGCCCCAGCATACCTCCCCACATGCCAAGGAGCCTATGTTCCCAGGTCCCCAGGGATTTCATCGCCATCCTATCACTGGGACACCACGGTGTGAACTCCTCTCCACAGACGGGGCCAGCCTGCCCTCCCACACTGGAGGCTCATATAATTGACATAATGAGGACACCTCCGCCTGTCCTCAGCCAAAGACAGGGCCCTTGAAACCAACCTAATAAACATGATATGACTGAGCTCTTACTAAGGGTAAGGCACTGTGAGGTACATGTAGGTAATACATAAAACCTGCACCAGGCCTATATTCTACCGGGCAAGGTAACAACTGTGCAGTTGAAAAAGGAAGTAGCTGGAAGTTAGCGCAAGAAGGCGGGAGAGGGCCAGATTATGGAGAGACCTAGACACTGAAGCACTGAGGATCTGGGGGAGAAAACATGATAAGACTTTAGGTCATATACAACTTCCAATATTTGTTATTATGACTTAATCTGAGAGAAAGTAGCACAGCATAAGCTTCTGCTCAGGGTTTCTGGCTATGCCTTACCTCCCTCCAAACCACATCACAAATTATCCTGGGTGCCTTATATAAACCTCGTGCCACTCCACGGCCTCTATCTTTTTTTGAGAGGTTATTACATTTTCCTTCTAAAGATGAGCATACTTATCTGGTGCCACAACTTTGTTTTAGGAACTGTATCAGAGATGTTTCTACATTTACCAAAGACAGCAAACTGACAGCAGAAACTGAATGTCAGTCCTTTGTTCTAGGCTTTACAACTAGACTTGACCCTCCCAAACCAATTGGCAACGTCAACCCCCAGGCACTACTGGCCCTCCTAGATCCACAGGAATGGGGACAAGATTGCTCTTTCAGTTAAACACATCTAAATTATGAACGACAATAGCCTCCTTTGGAAACTACTGTTATTATTGTTGACTGTGGTTGTTACTTCCTTCTCTTTTGCTTCTGTTTCCTCACATTTAAATGCTGCCCCTGTTAAAATACGGCTTTACATTTCTTCATCCCAGTCTGGAAGTTATTGCCACAGGGAACTGGTCCATTACCTTGACTAAAAACTTGGACCTTGTCCCACAAAAGCCTTTAAATGAGTGTGAGTTTTAAAAAAAAGGGGTGAGGGTTCAATGTCAGTAAAAATGGCAAAATTAAGTTCAACTTCTGAGTTTCACTACTGTAGAAGCCATCAGCCGTCTTTCAAGATATCCTCAAAAATGAAAATGAATTGGGAGGAATAAAATCAAAGAACAAAAACTATTTTGTTAAAAAAAAAAAAAAGAAAGAAAAAAAGGGGGAAGAGACTGAACTAAAGAGATCAGAATCAACTACATAAACATTAAAAAAATGAAAAAGAAACAATGGCCTTAGTTGCACCTTCAGTTGAACAACTGTCATTCTGTTTACAGCTTTCAAAAAGTCCTTCTGTCAGCTTTTGGTCCTGTGCAAACTCATGGGGTTTTATATCAGGCCTTCAGAGTGAGAAACCAATGGAGGAGGATGTCAAAGTTAAGTAAACTTGCATTAGCAAAGTAATTAGCGGTTAGAAACCCTTTGCCTAATTATTCCTTCAGGACCCATGCTATTAAAACTCATTTTCCACAGTAGGCATGTTCTGAATACTTTCTATGATGGTACCAGAAGCGGAAGGAATCATTCTCTCTGTCCTAGATGCTCTGACACCATGGATACTGATGCTGTGCTAGAACCTAAGCACAGCCTAGGTAAGATAGAGGGATACCTGTGGAATGGAAGAAGACATTTAATGTGGTCAGACACTCAGCTACAACTCAGTGGTAGGAGTAATACAGGAGCTGGGGGATATATTCTGAAATTGTTGGTCCCCCCACTCTGCCATTCTGAACAAGTGGTCTGTGAGGCAACAATATTGTGGTAACTATGTATGGTGCTGGGTGGGTACTTGAAATATTGGGGTGGGGGAGGGGACTTTTTAAAGTATATGGCTGTCTAACTGCTATGTTATATACTAAAACTAATACAAAATAATGTTGAATATGAACTCTAATTAAAAAACAACATAGCCCTGGCCAGTGTGGCTCAGTTGTTTGGAGCATTGTCCCATAGGCCAAGAGGCTACAGGTTCAAGATCTAGCCAGAAGGCAATTAATCGATGTCTCTCTATCCCCCTACCCTCTAAAAGCAATGAAAAATGCCCTCAGGTGAGGATATAAAAAATAAATAAAATAAATTTTAAAAATAAAAAAGCCAAGTGGGCCATGGCTCCAGGATCTGGGGAGGGCAATAAGACCCACACTACAGTGGCAGATGAGCCGCGCTTGCCTGAGGACTGCAACCGAGGCTGGCCAGCCTCTATCCCCTGGACAGAGTGCCGGGTTTTCTGGGCAGACTCTCTGGCCCTCATTCTGATAATTGTGACCCCAAAGTTGTACAACTCAGCCATGGCTTCAAGTCCCAGAACTCCCCCAGTACCGTGGGAGCCTCCACAGCCTACCCTTTAAACTCCACACCCAGCCAAGGCTTTTAGAGTTTTGTTTCCAGCAGATTTGTTAATTAAAAGTGTCACTCACAGTATTTCCCAAAGACCTGAGTACAAAAGGGAGCCTTTCTTAAGTGAACAGTTCTCATTGCTCTGAAACAACTCTGAGAAGAAAGCCACTCAAATTCCCAGCCTCTGCAGACCTGTCCGTCCACAGGACACCAGCTCTGCCCTAAGGCTCGGCTTACATGATGATGTCCAGGGTGGCTACCAGTCTGAATCCCAAATGGAAGGGCATTACTCACAAGAACTTAATACATCACTGATGATTTGATTTGAAAACTCAATTCTCCTATTGTTCAAATCACACAGCATCCTTCACCCCATCCCCAAATGCAGGATAAGCCATTCAGTCTTACACACTGCTGTCTCATCTCAGCGCCCTCTCTGAGTTAACTGAGTCATTTCCTTTCTCGTATTTCTCAGTGTAACCTTACTGCTTGCCAGGACCCACAGTTTAACTAGATTAATCCCCACTTCCCTACTACTCCCACCTTCTTCCTGACTTCACTCCCTTGCTAAATCTACTGCAAGAAAATATCTCCCTGTCATCCTTAAAAGTCTAATTTTTCTTGGAAACATATATATATGAAAAATATATACTGAAAAGGGAAAAAAATGATAGCAAAAATATTTGTGCTGATATATCCAATTGCTCACTGGTGACTTTTTTTCCCCCTTATTTAAAACTCTTCTGTACTTTCCAGGTTTTTAACAGTGACTATGCATTGTTTTCATAACCAGTAAAAACAAAAATACTCACAAAGGTACAAAAAGACAAAAAGGAAAATGATGCATATCTGTCTTCATTTGGCCAAAGTAAGAAGGGAAATGGAATCAATTACCGGGCTTCATGTTGTTTATAAAGAAAAAAGAACACCAGTTCCTAAGGGAAAGAAAAACTGACCCTCCCCCCCCAATTTTTTTTCCTGGACTACCAAAAAAAAAATAAATGCAGGGTTTCCCTTTGAGGTACGGGTGTGTGTGGAGAAAAAGTTGCCTATAACAAAGATAATGGGGGTGGTCTTTTCCTATTCCTTTGAGGGTCCCTCTGACCATTGCTTCCCAGACTGCCTTCTCTCACAGCCACAGCAAGAATAAGACAAATCTTCCCCTCCAACCACGTCTCCTGCAAGTGTTCAGAGAGCTGCCGGTTGGAGAGGACCTTCAGTTGCCTGGGGGCAGTTCTCTAATAAGAAAGACATTTGTCTGGAAAAGGTAGCTCATGGAAAATTGTGATGTGTAAAATAATTTTTCTTTCTTGGATTAATATGTTCTTCAATAAGGACACATACTTACAAAGCCACGTATTTATTACGGAAATTCTGTGTTTGGAGTTAAAATGTCACTGAAATCAGTGGGGGAGGGGGCGGCACTAGCATCCTCCCAGTCACCTCCTCCTCTCTGCCCGGCCTCTCCTATCAGCCTGCAGGGGACTATTACTTAGCTCCTATTTCCTCCTCTCTGGCCTCCTGTATGCCCTTTCACCTAGATGCTTGCCAAGACCTCCAGGCTTCCCTTCCTTCAGCCTTTAAGGTTTTCCTCCCACCCTCCACCCCTTCCCCACCCTATCTGACAATCCATTCTCCACCTCCAGACTATCACCCCAAAGACAGGGGGAAGCCAAATCACCCCTGGGCCCTTGGTCCCCAATGCCCATGAAATAAGTAAAAGTCTCACTCACAAAGGCATCTTCCAGATATACAGCCTCCTATGATGTACTGTGGCCTCTGGAACGACCACAGTCGTGGAGTCACACTTACTTGAGTTTTAATGCTAACTCTGACCTTGTGTGACCTAACTGTGTAAGCCATTTAGGCCATTCTAGTCTCAGGACCTGCACCCATAAGACAAGGTAAAAATACTAACAAATACAATGGAGTTCCTTGTTGTAAAGGTAAGACAGGTCTCTTCTGGGAAACTACGGATTTCTTGACCAGTTCACTGGACACGCCTTCTCAGCAGTGAATGTGTGTAAGGCAACTCCAGCCTTCTGAAGGCTGGCAACACTTGGTTCGAGTTTATTCACTTGGTTTGAGCTTATTCAACAAGCCGCAGATAGTATTCCTACTGTGCATGGTATTCTAGGTAGGTATAAAAAGGAAAAGAATTTTGTAAATACAAAACCCTGACTAGCAGCAGAACCATTAAAGGCAAAGATAAAATCTTATCTGTA